ATATATATATATATATATATATATTCAAGTTATATGTATGAAAGTGATAACAATATATTACTTCTTGTAAAACTGAATTATTATGTGGACGGAGAATTATAATAATTTATAAAACAATAATTAAACATTACGAATAAAAAAACATAAGCAATGGCATTCACATTGACACGATTTTGCAATACCGTATATGATGGCGATTAACAGTGCATTTTATACTTATATATACATATGTATAAATACAGCATATCAAGAAAAAGCATGACAGAATAATTCAGAATAATTGTTTTCTTTCTTTTCGTCATTTTCCGCATGCTATGTTCTGGCAATCATCCTTATATTTTTATATCATTCCATCTTACTCGCTTGAAAAATACTTTCAATTTTTCTTATGCAATAGAAAACATAAATTGTAATTTCTATAACGTATCGTAAATTAACACATTCGCAGCCACTGATGCAGTACTACGTCCTTCTATAAACTATAACTGATTGTCATTGATGTAATGCTATCTTTTTAAATTCTGTAGCGGGTTTTATCTACAATGTAGTACATCTTTTTATATTTTAAGTTCAAATTAAACAGAATAAGTTTTGAAAAAATATAATTGTGATGCTAGTTTTAGCTGGAAACTCAAAGACAATTTTTAAAAAAATATACAAAAAAGAAATATTGTATTTTTAATCTGAAAAATATATAATTTTTTTATGTAAATATATTTATGTAAATATATTTAATTAAATTTTCCAGAAATATATATAATTTTAAAATTATTTAAACTAAAAATTATATATTGGTTCACATTTAGAAATAAATAATGAAATGTTTTGGCGAGACATTTCGACTAAATCTGCTTCAGCCGCAAGTACAAATTTCAATAAATACATTAATCGGAAAATATGTACATTTTTAATAAAGTTGCAGATGCAAATTTCAATAAATCAATTCTCTTTTGTCGAGTCTAAATTTAAAAAATTTTTTTACATTTTATAACATTCATGTTCATAATTTGACATGTTCTTTGTTTGAAATCTAATGAACATCGATGGATAAAAAGTGACCATATACGCGCAAAAACAGGTTTTTTTCGCTTATTTTGTGGATCGAATCAAAATGCAAATTGAATTGTACATCAAACGATGTTATATGATGGGACATTATTTCAGAAAAATTGTAGTTGAACATAGAAATAGTTTTGGAGATACAGAAAATCAAGTAGTCAAATTCGCAACATTGTCCAATCTTCAAACAAATAGTTACAAACACGATATTTCAAATTTTATAGTTTTGATTCTCATTTTAACAACAGAATTGTGGTAATCAGCTATAGATTTAAGTTTACTGTATCTTGCTTCCAATTTCAGAAAGATAAAAAAATTACTGGCTGCAAAAGCATTAAGATTCATATTTTCCCTTTACTTAATGTACCAGAATCTGATATATCAAGAATATCTCGCTAATATGGATCAAATAGAAGTTATGCCAATCATATTCTTCCTTGACATATATTGTATTTGTAGGATAAAATACGGTTTGGTTGTGAGCATTTCATATCTTTAAAGCTCAATATATACATATATATATATATATATATATATATATATATATATATATAAATTATGGGGTTTCACGATTTGTAAATATACAAATAAGTGTCAGGAAGCTATAGCACCAATTTATACTTCTTATTGGCCATAAAATACTTTTAACATAATACTTGTAGTAGAGAAGTGCGAACTATTCGAATACGAATCGAATGAAATCGAATCGAATCAGATAAAACTTAACTCGGATTGGATCTCTATTATGATCGAATCCGAACTATTTGAAAAATTCGAATTTAGGAGGTGTGAATACGAGTCACATATATTGACAATTTTATAAAATTATATTTTCCCATTAATAAGTAAAACAGCATATCATAATCGATATTATTTTTCTTATACAGAAATCTTTTTTAAATATCTGTATATTAAAATTCAACTTAACAATAATTATGTTTAACACAAATTAAATTGAGAGAAGGCCAATACGATCATATAGCAGGATCTTGATGATTCTAATATTTCTATGTGATTTTACATACATATTCTAGTTTCAACGAACTGCGTGCCGTTACCTTCAGATTCAACGCAGCTCATTGCTTGAAACAAAACAGTATTACCACGTTATTAAATTGATAATCAATTTAATAAATACTGATACTCACCGGCATCTAATAAAATCTCTTCCTGCGACGCGGTATGAATGCTAAGAATTATTTGCTGCGAAAAATATTACCTCAGTCAGGATTTGAACCTGGGACTTCCCAACTTTCCGGGGCGGGCGTCTTAACCGCTCGAGCACCGAGGCATGTGCAATAATTATGTTGTTAATTAAAAGTTATGTTTCAATAAATTCCATTCGTTTCGGATTCAAATAAAGAAATGAAATTTGATTTAACTCGGCGGCGTCAAAAAACTTTGATTCGCACATCTCTAACTTATAGATACGCTTGCGAGAGTGTCTCGACCACGGTGTATATTTGATCAAAATGCGGCCGTTTTTCTGGTTCGTAGTCCCAGCATCGCAACATTAATCGATAGATCTCTTCAGGCGTTCCATCCGGAGCCGGCATTCGATACCCTGATGCAATCAATGTATGCAAAATTGTCAAAATAATCGTAAAACAAATGTATATAAATGTGTATAATAAAGCATTGTTCAACAAAAAATTACTTTTTTTCGAATACTATAACGAGACTAGTCATTTGCCGTAATTTTTTGGACACCGAATCCGATTATAGAATTGTTCTATCACGTCACAATTTTGAGAAATTTGCAGGTAGAGTTGCAAAAAAAGGTTATTTTTATGTATTTTGTCATATTATAACTTCGAAATGCGACGTGCTGGAGAAGTCTTCTTGTAATCAAAATTAAGTATATTGTTAAGGACTTCAATCCTAAAAGAGAATTTTTTATGCCCGTTATAGTTAACAAGTTATTTATTGTTAAACATGGAGTCTATCGCAGAAAAGCTATGAATTAAATCATTGACAATTTATCAAACAGCTTCCAATTTTGTTTATTTTACGAAGTTCACATTTTCAATCTAAAGCTTACACAACAAGTAAGACCTATCTATAAACACACGCGCGCGCAAGCACACAAACACGCACACACATTTTAAAATAATTTTTAAGACACTTGCTATATTACATTGAATCCGCCATTTGGGATTTGTCAATTTTGACATTGGATTTATATTCAGCGATTTAAAAAACACTTAAGTTGAAATAAAATTGAAAACTGGTAAATTGTCAATTTAATTCACAGCTTTTCCGTAATGGACCCCATATTTAACAATGAATAACTTGTTAATCATAACGGACACAAAAAATCCCTTTTCAGGGTCGAAAGTACTACATACTTAATTTTGATTGCAAGAACACTTCTCTAGCATTTTGAAGTTATAATATGATTTTCAAGATGATTTTCAAATTGACAAGATACGTAAAAATAGCATACCCTTTTTTGCAATTTTATCTGCAATTTTTCAAAACTGCAACGTGATAGAGTAATTTTACAATCAGATTCGGATTCAGCGTTCAAAAAACTACGGGAAATGCCTAGTCTCGTTATGATATTTATTATCAGAACAATATACGTTTATATGTTAATCTCTATAATCTCGTCAATCTCTGTTATTCATTCCCTTACCTGCATCGATCTTCTCGCGCGCTTGTGAATTGGACATACCACTGTATGGGTTACCGCCTTTAGAAAATATTTCCCATATCAGAATTCCGTAACTCCAGACATCACAGAGCGATGTGTATTTACCTGTGAAAAAATAACACAACATAATATAATATTTTTGACATTATCAAGACGGCGAAAACGCCGAAACCTACCGAAATTCAGAGCTTCCGGTGCGGTCCACTTAATGGGAATTTGTTTCATACCGTCCGAAACTATGTATTCTTCCTCTTCCCTCGACATTCCAAAGTCAGAGATTTTGACTATACATTCGTATCCTAAGGAAATACAGCGACATTACGTTTTATTCTCATTATTATCGCTTAACTCGCCTCAAGTTTAAATCTAGTGGCTTTCCCCTTTCCCTCCCCTCGTGAAATGTAGTTCATTTACCTACGAGGCAGTTGCGAGCGGCTAAATCTCTATGGATGCAATACTTAGATTCCAAGTAGCTCATACCAGCCGCAGCGTCCTTGCACATACGCAGTTGCTCCCGCTGTGTTATTGTACTAGCATTCTTCCGCAAATACGTAAGTAACGAACCACCTAGAGTTAGCGATTAGCGATGTGAACTATCATAGCGTATACATCGGCGGATTTCCAATTTTTACGATATAGCATAAAACGGCCAGAGAGATGTTAAAAACTGTGTTAGCATAATGGCGACGTTAATGGGACTCTGTCGGCTTACCGGGCACCAGCTCCATCACGATCATGATCGGCTGCTTTTGAACGCAGATGCCGATAAGTTTGACTATGTTCGGGTGATCGTACTGCTTCAGTATCCTCCCCTCTTGCAGGAACTTGCGTTTTTGCTCGTCTGGCAACGTTACCTTGCACGTTTTCACGGCCACCTCAGTTTTGCAAGTCTTTAGTTGCGCCTTGTAAACATCCCCGAAATTTCCCTGCAGAAACACAAACCGTTGGCATCATGTGTCACAGAATATATCGTAAAACACACGGGAAAGCTATTGTCATAGCCTACTCACTCGACCTATTTTCTCCAAAAGGATGACATCATCGTTATTAAGCTCCCACCGCTCGCGCAAAATTGGCGTCTTAAGAATAGCACCGGATCGGCTGGTCACCGGCAAACCGGACAACCATTGGTGCCTGATCAATTCTTGAATAGATGGAAACGTGGGTCCTTCAAATCTATAGTGTCCCTGCAATAACGTATATTAATATTGTGTGCGTGTGTGTATTTTTAGGATGGGCTGAAAAAATTAATCGATTAGTAATATCCCCAAAAGTTAGTTATAGACCTCAATATGGTCTAGATAAAATTTCAACGAAATCAATTAATATCTTTAGGTTGCCCCTCGACTTCGAAATTAGTAAATTTATGCATTTCTGCAAATTACATTTTTCTTTTAAGCAACTGTGTTTTCTTTACACCAATCGATTCATTTCATTATTCTGTGCTTAAAAATATTAGGTATCATTATCAAGAAATCAATAGTTTACGAGATATTTCATATCACATATCAAAATATTGCATGATAAAGTATAAAATATTCGTAAAATATTGATTTTTCGATAACTTTACCTGAATACTTTTATATGCAGAATAATTAGAGGAATTGTATTATATAAAAAAATATATATAATTCCGTTTAAAAAAATCAAAGTGATCTTGATTTGATCTCAACGACGCCACCCAAAATAAAATCAATACCTTCTTATGTCCCCCTCTGAACCATACAATTTTTATTTGAAACATTTTTCCATACCTATCATATTTTTCGAAAAATTTTAATGTATTATTTAAGAATATATTTTGGATCCATCATTTTGAAATGTATACTTCTGACCTCGGATTCGTGTTCAGCGACCAAAAAATAACAGATAATACCAAACTGTATTGAAATTCAGATATTTTTTCGAATTTGGACGCATCTATGAAGAAATGCATAAACTTACTAATTGCAAGGTCGAGGGGCAACCTGAAGATATTAATCGATTTCGATGAAATTTTACCCAGACCATATTGAAGTCCATAACTAACTTTTGGGGGTATTATTAATCGATTTTCAAAAAATTTTTTTTTCGGCCCACCCTAATATATGTATACATATAATATATATAAGTATCTCCATTTTTTCGTTTAGTAAATAATAATTTTGAGCTGTCAGAGAAATTAAACTTCCTAACAGAACATTTTAATATTATATTTTTATGTATTACAAGTTTATGTATTAGCGTTAGTGTATTAGTGTTAGTAACATATACTCTATTCTTACCTCTTGTGTAGTTTGTACAATAAAATGCTTGTGCCCGTCCCAGCAAACGGATAAAACTATCTGACACTCATCGTTTCTCATTGTTTCACGCACTAAAAAGTCCCCTTCGTTGACGAGTAGTCGAACGACCTCTTCTCTCGGTAATACCCCATGAAACCATTCTTCCTCCATAAGAGGACCACCGTTCCCGTTACTTTTTTGGTTGTTAGTTAAATGCGATATTCCACGTAACGGTACCTATAGATATAAAAATTTCATTTGCCTGAATAAATATATTGACGATAAAGTAAATGATAATTTGCAATTTCAATCACTCTGTCATGTATATACTTATCTTATTTCTGTACGTATGTATAAATATTAGTTAAAAATGCTCATTCTCATGCATGAAATTCTCATGCCTAGCACTGATAACATTATTATTCAGCATTAACAAAATTCTATTATATTATTATTATTATATTTTCTAGCTCATTCATGCAACATTTTCTAATTGTAATAAATCGTGTAAATCATAATTTTGTATATAAAAAATGATAATAAAACAAGGTTGTTTGTGAATCTTGCACTAATTTTTGTAATAAAAAGAATATTAATACGGGAAACTAAGATACTGCCTACGTCTGTATCTGACAGTATGACGACAGAAAAATTTATTACACCACAAAAGCTGGGAGAGATGTGTTGTATGTGAGTTCTATGTAATGACACAAGACATTATCAAACATCTTATCGCTTTGCGACTGGGCGCAGGAAATATCACGAACACACGAGATATCACACGAATAAAGTATAACACATACAACAGGAGGGATATTTTTGTCTGCTTTAGCCGCAGGCCCTTCGCTTTTTGCCCTAATCATCCCGTTTTTCGAGTCGTTAATTGCCGGCAGGGATTTAAAGGGTGATTTTAATATTGTCATGAATCGCTGATTTCTCCTCAGTGTGAACAAACTGTTGTCTGCGACTGTATTTCTCTGCAAAGGGCTAGATCTAACTAACTTGTCATTCCAGGCAACTCATTGTTCAATGGGAAAGAGTATAATCGAACGTAATATTTTCACATATTATTGTCACAGTTGCAGTAATTTTCTAAATATCTTTTGCTACTGAGTTTTGATTATAATAAAAACCTATTTCTGGGAACATTCTTCCAATATCAAGGAATAATTACAGGATAAATACAATATACTGGATTTATTATAATTAATAAAATGTAGTTTTTCTTATTAACAAAGATAAGGGAAATTACTTCCGAGATTTTACTTACTTTACTGATTGCAGGTGAATCGGTGAAAGAACCTTCCATGGAAAGATCGCAACCCGAAGGTAACTCTTCACAGCCTAATTCGTTGAGAGCGCCTCTAATGACGTCCACTTGTCTCTGCAATTTTTTCTCCTGGCAACGTAATTTCAGCTCTTCCCTTTCACGAGAATAGTCCAAGACTGAAATCCTGTTCGACAGGAAAACACACAAAAGGACGATTGAAAGTTTATATTCATCGGCAAATGTCAAACTTGATTGTGTGACTGCGCATCGTTCGTTGCACTGTATTAACGATAAAAAAATTTATTACCTAGAATCGCTGTTATTTTCTTGCGGAAATTGCGGACTCTGTCGATTTTGTTGCGTGGTTTTGAGAGAGGCTTCGAGTTCCGTCAGGCGACTTCTCAACCAGTCTATAGTCAAGTTATCGACGGTCAGTTTATTTGGCAATAATTTCCCTGAAGTGTCATCCACAAGATTCTCGTCAAACGTGAATCTGATCGGAGACGCTGGCCTAGTTCTGACATTAGAATTTGCAACATTTGTATTAAGGTAAACATATTTTACGGATACAATTGTACAAATAATCGTAGTGTTATATATGTACTTGTGCTTTCCAATAAAATCCCTGTACTCTTCGATAGGCTTGATACCATCAACTACCTTCAGCACTTTCACATGGATCTCTAGGAATTTCTCCGTTGTAAGATCTGTATATTTTACAATATCCTGCAGGATTCCCTTCCTAGAAAATCGCGGGAATTTTACGTATTATACATGTAAAATAATTAACCATATTAATTTGCATAATAAAATTTTTACCTTCTCCATTTCTAGTCGCATGTAAATAGAAAAATTAAGATAAAATATTAAGATCAAGGATGAAAAGTGGTAAAAAAAAAACTCAGACAACACGAAGTCCAAAATCGGGAAGTAAAACATCTTTAAATGTGTTAGACATTTCGCAGATATCTCTGAGACGTTTTAAGTCCTGATTTTGAACGTCATATTTTTTGGGAAGAGTTAAAACTTCATCAGGAGTGTATCGTTTGCATCGTTTTATATCGTACAAAGACTATTTATAATGAAAAGTAACTCACCATGAAGTTATGAATTCTTGGTGAATAGCCTGTTGCCGATGGAGCAAACTTGGCAAATAACAGGTTCTTAAATCGTGTTCACATTCTGTCACAGCGCCTAGTAGTAATACATATTCATTATGTGTTAGATGAAGCTTCCTGCACGCCTTCTGATACTTTTCTCTGACTTCGTCTAACTTGCGGCCTCCCCTACCAGCTAAAACAAAGTTACATTACTGTATCACTTTCTTATTACAGAAATACAACAGATTTGAAACAATTGTCCAACATTGTCTTTGTATAAGGTACTTACATTTAACATAATATTCTTCAAATCGCGATCTCATTAATTTATACATCTCCAAACTCTTCTGATATTCCATTTTTTTCCTAGTTACGTCATCTGTCAGCTTCAAATGTATGAATTAAAAGGAAAATTTAAGTAACAAACACATCAAGAGCCACTTAACTTTTTATATGCTTATTATACTGCTTTAATGTTATTACATATATATATATATATATATATATATATATATATACACACATTTATCTAGCTTACCTGCTGAAATTGATTATTCAGCCAATTCTGTTCCTCTTGATACAACTTTCTTGCCCTCCTCCTTTCTGAGTGCAATGTACTCAATTGATCTACAACAATATTTTCAATCGAATCTGCCTGCTGCTTGATCAATTTCGCTGTTTGATCAATAGAGTCCATTATGTCTCTCCAGCTCTGCAAAAATATATTTCTTTATATATACTTTAAGCATAAGCTAGAATAATGTTTATCCTAGCAATCTGCCATCAAATTTGAGCAGAACATTATAACAGATCGATATCAGCTATTGTATTGAACAACATACTGTATTAAACTCATGTTTTGTCAACAATGCCTTTCAATATAATTTGACAGTAAATTGCCAGTAAAAACCAAGCAAAATCCATCATTTTAGATCTGTTCTCTGTCACTGCTTTGAGCTGCACTAACACTTTTTTTATCTCACTTTTGCCAAATTTAATAAATATATAAGATAATAATTGAAAATAAAGTTCAGTAGATTAAATATCAATCAATAAGTAAAAAAAGGCTTTTGAGTGCAAATTAGATATTGATATTTTTACTTATAACAACTTTAAAATATTTATATTAAAGTCATAATTATCATTCTTTTTATCTTATTAATATTCTACTTCATTTTAAGTACAAATGTATACTTCAGCCACAAAGAGCAGACTTTTTATAATCATTCAAATGGTAATGAAATAGCTCAGGTTTCCACAGTCAATCTATCGTCATATTTTGTCAGCAGATTCTATAACATTTCCACTGGAATTCTACTGAATTTCTATAGAATTTTAGTAGCAGACATTTGACAAATCTGTGTATTTAACACAGATTTCTCTTAGAGAAATTTAATATTGTGGGTATTAAATTAATTAATAATTAACTAATTACTTTAAGTGTAAAAATTATTAGTGCTTTTAATACTGAAAATAAAGTTAATAATCACTAAGCAAATTAATTAATGCTTACAGTATTAAATTTCTCTAAGATTCGAGTATCCGGAGTAGGAAATTAACTTACCTGAGTTATAAGACTGCCAACGAGATCCTCGTTGCGCTCGATCTTCCTCCCCTGGGTGGTGAGCGAGGTAATAGTGGAGGCGTATTCCCGGTCGGACTTGATCTTCGTCGTGAGGCACCTTCGCATTGTTTCCAACAGCTTGATCTCGGCATCCTGGCGGGCGAGCAGCGCCTCGTGCGACGCCTGACCCTGCAGGCTCGTGGAGAAGCCCATCTCTCCGACGGATCCTCACGGACGCGGACTATCACAGGCTAATGCCAGTACTCAACGGCAGCTCATCTTCAACTCTCGGCCTCGTTGAAGCGAAGATATTCTGGACGTGACATCGGTGAATATCCTAACATTTAATTTTAAAGTGCAGGGCTTGGTGCGTTTCAACGGTGACACGACGTGTCCGGGGAGTTATTACATGACCAGCATTACCGCCAACTACTATTACGACGACGACGACGACGACAACGTGCCGTTACTCCGGCACGTCCCCGCGCAGCTCTGAGATCAACATTTATATTTATACCCGTCTCCCAAAAACTGTAGAAAAATTTACTTTTACCAGAGAAATACCGCCATTGGCTATATCGCACGATGATGTCGATCGAGGAAGTTCGCTAGTGTGCCTTGGTAATCAATGGCCACGTTCAGCATCGAGTCCTAGATTATTAGAGAAGCGCGACCGGCTTGGAATATGGTAGTATCGCAAAAATACTAGAAAATATTAAGTGTGCTTTCCAACAAGAAACACAGGCGGCACTGTTAAGCCCGTATCAGACTAAAGATTGAGATTGAGATTGTAATGGAATTTGACCAATTAAAACAAAGTTCACTAAATTTGAGATTGGTTTTCTTTCTTCTAATTGGTTAAATCCCAATTCAATCTCAATCTCAATCTTTAGTCTGATACGGGCTTTAGGGTGCGTTCCCACTGAGCGCGTCACGCGTCGCGTCGTCTGTCGCGTCACGATTAATCGATAAAAATATCCCATTTTATTGTATTATTTGTCACGCGACTCTTTGCACGACGCATTAAGGCAGGAGCACAGGCTTTTGCATAACGCTGCATAACGCATAAAACATAAGGCATAAAAAAATTAACCAATTAGAGTCCTTCATTTCATACTCTGATTGGTTGATTTTCTTATGCCTTATGTCATATGCGTTATGCAGCGTTATG